CTGCCCCCCCAATCCAAGGTAACTGCAAAGCTGCCATGACACGAGACACCCGTTTGAAGCGCGCCACCTCCTCGCTCACGAACCCGACCGCTGAAACACCGTAGAAGGTTTTGTTCATAGATATGTATATATATAACAAAAAACTGAACCACTTTCATGTCCACGGCGCACGGCAGAAACCAATCGCAGACTCCGCCACGCTCCGCCTGTGTAGGCAGCGTCAAGGATGATGGTTGTGGGAGACCATAGATCCACCTACCTTGTTGGAGTACGCTTGGTGCTTCCTGTCATTTCCGGATTTGAGCCTGGCACGACTGTCTGGCGCGTAAAATCCACGTCCTCACATCCTGTTTTTGGATGTGGGTATCGCATTGTGCCTAAGGCTGATGTGTCTCACCCAACTGCTTTATGTACCCCCTGGCCTTCTCGCCCACGCACGACACACTACTAATGAATATTTTGACTGCCGAATGGGTGCCCCCACCGTGTGGGGCGCACGCAATAGGAAAAAAAGTGGAGGGCGCCAACTCGGTACCTGAATCCCCAGTGGCGCCGTGGCCGTACCGTAAATCACAACTCTCGTCCCCCATCCATCCGGCAGGTCCGATCGAACGGCGCTCGCAAAGCTGTGGCGACGACGAACCCTCGCTCGATGGCGAGGGCAATCCTGTCCAAGCTACCACACTTAGTCACAACTCCATATCCTCATCCCCCACCGGTTTCTTGATGGCGGCTGCGGACTTCTGGGATGCTGATGCCGAACCAGCCCCCGATGCCGAACCAGCTAATCACGAGCCTTTGCCTGTTGCCGTGGCTTTGGCTTTCGCTGCCTCGACCTTGGTTGCAGTCTCGAACTTGACCTTGGACAGCCTGCCCGCCTGACGCTTGATATACGCGTCAACGATCGGCGGCTGCTCAATCGATGCTGCTGCCCCCCGAAGCTGTTGTACCTGATGCAGGCGTCTACGCACCAGCGCCATCTGCGCAGCAGCTCCATCATCTCCATTCCTCTTCTTCTCCACGGTCTCGGCCTTCGCCAAGAAACTCTGCAGTACGCTGTCCCTCGTGGCGAAGGGTTTCTGGAGCCCCTCGAGCTCGCGCTTGAGCCTCTTCACGGTTATCTTGTCGGAGTCGTCGCACTCCCTTTTCCTCGAATTGATCGAAGACTGATGGATCCATGGTGATGCTCACATTGGCGTTCTTGGTGTTGCCGTCCGCGGTCGCACCCGCCCCTCTAAGCGCGGGCTCGTGTTTGCGTGGCGACCGTCTTTAGAAGAGAAAATAGAAGGAAGAAGAAGAAGAAGAAGAAGAAGAAGGACAGGACCCCCCTCCCTGGCGCGCGGAGCGCGCCAGGGGCGGCACTGGCGGCGCCGCCTGGGGGGGCCAGCGCAGATCCAATAATCCGCGCGGACCGCCGCAAGTTTATGCTTATGCCGTTGCTTCTCCTTCGATTCTGCTCCGCCTCCGCGTTGGCAAGGGCGAGTGCCCGCCCCCCCTTGCTCCTTGGCTTCTACACAAGCGCGTTCCGCTACACGCAAAGGAGCTACTCGCAAATGGCCGTCATCCGCCGCGGGGGATTCAGGATAATTCCAACGAGGCAAACACATGTTTTTTCAGACGTTTGCGAGTAGGCACTTTGCGAGTAGCGGAACGCGCTCGGTGAGCTGCGGCCGCCTGGGACCGGGCGGCGAAGCCCGGAGCGCGTGACCATCGCTGCTCGTGCCGGTGGCGGGCCGCCCTCCGCGCGCCGTCGGCCAGCCCCTGGCGGTCTCGGCCTGCCTGGCGGGTGGCCCGGGCGGCGGCTGCGCTCCGCACGCGAAGCACGCGAAGCACCTCTTGTCATTGACGAGCCGCTTGTCGCTGTAATCGATTAGTCCTACAGTGGATGCACCTGCTCCATCGGCCCCCGCTTGGGCCCGCAGCGCGTCGCAAAAAGGAACGATTCGGGATCGGTCAACCTCGAATCGGAAAGCCGGCTCGCATCAGAATTTGCGTCGGATCGGGCCGCATCAGCACGGAAATCGGCCGCGGCAGAATGTCCAGCCACGCTGTGCAAGAATCGGACCACATCGGGTCGCTAGGAAGTCGAAGTCGGACAGGATAGAGCCCAGTGACTTCGGCATCGGATCGGATCGATCGAATCGAAAAATATGATTTGCTTAGGATCCTGTCCCAGGAATTCCGGAGTACGTATGCAGTGGCTCCCGTTTCTTGAGCCTGGGAAGAGGAAGGGACACACACACACACACACGCCACAGCGGCCCGGAGGCCTGTCCAAGAATAGACGGCGCGATGGCGCCTCGGCGCCAGCAGGCGGAAGACTCGGTCCTCGTTGTCCTGGCAATAAGCCTTTACAGAATCCGCCCATCTTCTCCGCGGACCTTCCGGCCTTCTAGAAGAGTGAGCATCGTTTAACCGATGCCCATCCCCAGCGGCGTGGCCTGAGCTCCAAGGGCCGATGGACCCCCTAGATTGGGATATGGGCCGTTCCCTTCGGGCTTCGAGGGGCGTATCCCCGACTGAGGTGGCAATTTGGTGGGGGTCTCGAAGGGGATGGGGATGGGGACGCAGACGCAGACGCAGACGCGCGAGTCTGCCGGCCGGCGGGCCGGCAAGCCCCTGAGGGGCGGCGCAGGCGGGCCAGAGCCCAGTCACAGGCATGTGAACTTCAAGAAGTCGCCTTCGAGGTATGTCCAGAATTTGGAAGTTGTAGCACTCTGTGGCCATGTGCCAGGTGTGCTTCCAACCAAGCTTGGTCTGGGGATGGGGGTGGGGATTGGAGAAACGACGCCGAGAGTGGAAAACCTCAGCAGCCCTGGAAAGCTGGGGAGCACTGGAGCGAGCCAGGGCCACTGCTCTCCTCCGAGCGCCGGGGGGAGGGGCCGGCTCTCCCGGGGGAAGGAAAAGCACCTCGAGCTCGGAGCTCGGCGGCGCACAGCCGACCTCGTGGATCGGCCTCGTGGATCGTAGACGAGCGCGCTCCACTACTCGCAAAGCATCTACTCGCAAATGGCCCGGATCCGCCGCGGGGAGTCTGCGGTCAATTTCGTCGAAACCAAAGCATGTTTCTCGGACGTTTGCGAGTAGGCACTCTGCGGGTCGTGGAACGCGCTCGGCGAGCACAGCCGACCACATCGGAGGCCGGCCCCCGACGGGCGAAGCCGCGCGCTCCCGCGGCGCAGGTGACGGGCGAGCCCTAGGTCGGGCCCATCCTGCTACAGGGGGATTTTGGACGAAAAAAAAAAAAAAAAAAAAAATATATATATATATATAACCTTTTATATAAATAAGTATATATATATATATATACTTATTAAAATACTAATAATAAGAATAATAAGAATAATAATAATAAGAATAATAAGAATAATAATAATAATAAGAATAAGAATAAGAATAATAATAATAATAATAATAATAGTAATAGTAATAATAATAATAGTAATAATAATAATAATACTAATAATAATAGTAATAGTAATAGTAATAATAATAATAATAGTAATAATAATAATAATAATAATATTCAAAAAAATAGTCCAAAACTAGTCCCCGCATTATGTTTCTACTAGTTTTGAATATCCATTCCCCCTGGAGAGGGACAGGCCCGACTGAAGGCTAACTCGGCGGTGGACAAACCTTCCTTTAGCAGACCTCCCTTTAGTGAAAACGGCCTAGGACCGAAACCGACGGACCTGGACCCGCAAAAAAGACGGCCGCGGCGCCCTCTCGCAAGCCGACAACGGCCAATCCCTCAATCGACGTGTCAGAATAGGAGGTCTATCAACCTCCGAGACAGGCCCCCGATGACAAATCCGCGCGCTCCCGGGCGGAGGGGATGGGCCAGCTTCAATTGAGGGATGCAAAAACACCCCTACCCTCGGTTACAAGCGCGTGGTCTGTAGCTAGCCCTCCTGGGAGCTCCCCAAAGGCCAGAGAGCCGCCAGGACGCCGCGCGACATGCATGGCTTACCGTGTCAGCCGACAGGAGGTTCAGCGCACAGCGCCTCGTAAACCAGGGCAGGGGCGTTTTTTACGCCCTTGAGTCCAGCCCCTGCCGGCGATCCACAGGCGACTTGGGGCGGGTCGGTGCACTCCCCCCCCCGGAGCCTGTCCGCCACCGCTGATCCTCGCCGTCCCGTTTCCGGATCATGGGTCGGGCCTATGGCGGCCACTCGGGGCGATGGGGGCACCCCCCGAACGCTCCCGGCGAGGCGCGGCCGCTGGAACGGCACCCCGCGGCTGGGAGACCGCCGAAGACCGACGAAGACGCCCGAAAACCTCAGACCTCGAAACTCCGCTCCTCCTCGCCCCCCACCCCCTTCGAATAGGGGACCGACAACAGAATTGATTTACCCCAGACTTGATTTTCTCGTCGAATCTACGGAAAAGACTTAGGATTCTCAGCATGTTTGCTAACATTACACGTTTCCGTCGTACATTCGATGGGGAAATCAATTTTGGGGTAAATCGATTCTGTAGTCGATCCCCTACTCGACCAGGGGCCACGCACCAAAGGTCGTTACTGCCCAGGGCCGCTCTTGGCCTGCGGCCCCCCGCCACAGGCCAAAAACACACACTCACACTAAGTCGGGCCCGTCCCTCTACAGGGGGAATATTCAAAAATAGTTGTTTTAAAAAGTCTGGGGACTATTTTTTGAATATCTTTGGGCATCCTTTGGATATCTTTGGACTATTCTTTATTTCTCGTCCAAAATCCCCCTGTAGGGGGACAGGCCCGACCTAACACTCGCACCCTCCCGTGAACTGCTCCTGGGCCTCATGGAGAAGCTCGAAATTCGGCTACCCCTTGTCTGAAGTCGGGCCTGTCCCCCTAGCAGGGGATTTCGGGCGAAAAATTCAAAAATATGCACAAAAAAAAACACGCTCCAAAATTGTCAAAAAATACTCAAAAAATAGCCCCCAGACTATTTTTTGACTATTTTTGGATATTCCTCCTGTAGAGGGACAGGCCCGACTGCACCCTTGTCCCGGATCACCGCCCTCGCCGCGGAGGCCAGCGCCACGGCGTCGCCGGCGCCCCCGGCCCTCTTGGGCGGCGCGCGGAGGGGGGCGGGGGGGGAGGGGGCCAAGGCTTCTTAGAGGGAGGCGGCTTCTCAGAAGGCGCCGGCCCGACGTCTGTTGATGAGGCCCGCGCCCTCTGCGAAGCAGGGGTGCTTCGAAGCAGCCTTCCCCCCCTCGGAGCCCCGAAGCATCAGGGCCGGGTGCAGTCAGGGGTAGCGTCAGCTGCGCGCCTGGGGGGCCCAAGCTGGAGTTACCCCGGACCGCCAGTGACCCCGGATAATTCGGGCGTCCAGCCTCGGAAGCTGGGAGAGGGCTGGCAAATCCGTGGCTGCTAAAACGGTCTTCCCGGAAGAACAAAAAAAAATCCCGGAAGAAAACTCAGCGCACTGAATAGTAAACGGGCTGCTTCCTGGAAGGAAAAAACAATTTCCTGGAGCTCCGTTTTAGCAGCCACGGGTTTGCCAGCCTTCGCCTGGCTTCTGACAGCGCCTCCCCCCGAGGCCCCCTCTGCGCGCGGCTGACCTCTGCCGCTCCAACGCCGAGCCGGCCCGGACGGCCGCGTCGATGCGGGACGCGGGCCCGCACGCCTCCGCGGGCGGCTGCGCGGCGCCCTCCTGCCGGCGGGGGAATGCGATGCGGCCGCGCGGCTGGGCGGCCGGGGATAGCCCTCCTCCCTCCTCCCTCCTCCATCCTCCCTTCCCCCCTCCTCCCTCCTCCCACCTCCTTCCTGCCTCCTCCCTCCTCCCTCCTCCCTCCTCCCTCCTCCCTCCTCCCTCCTCCCTCCTCCCACCTGCGCTGGACATCCGACGGGGCAGCTCCGCTCGATCCCCATGTCTCCCCTCGCGCTCGGCCCCCAGGGTGGTGACAGGGCAGCGCACACTCAGACCGCGAGGACGGGGAGGGCGGGGAAGGGGCGAGGCGTCGGAGGCGCTGCAGGTGTGGGCGCGGGGTGTCGGACCCCGAAGGGGGCCCCCGTTCGAGCGGGTGCCCCCCTCCGACAGCACACTCCCGCAGCCCGCACGGGGCTCCACCCCGAGAAAGCCGGGGGCCGCGCAGGTATGGGTGCTGGTTGTCAGTTCGTGATGGAGCCCGTTACTGTAAAGTTCTTTGTTGCCGCAAACTAGTTTTTGGCGGCGCCGTCGCCCCGAAATCCCCTGGGTACGGCATGTTGAAATTGGCGATCTTCCATTTGGTGACGGCGACTTCGGTGAACCATTAAGAGCCCTCGGTGCGCTATCGATATTGGGCAAGGGGCTGGTGTCATGATCGCTCGCCAGCGAAAAAAACACTCTTCGCATCGTTTAGCTTGGCGGTGGCGTCATTCAACACCTGCCGCACGGAACAAACTGAGCGGAATACAAGAAACCAGGAGCTCTCGGGGGGTGCTCGGGAGGCCGTGGGGGCCTCTTTGGGAGTCCTGGGGAGCACCTTGGGCCAGGGACACTCCTAGCAACACCCGAGTGCTCCAGTGATCCAGCGGGCGCCCACCTGCAGTGAAATTCGCCAGCCCAACGGGCCAGAGACGTGCTAAGATCTCCGGTAACTACTTAAGAATATTTCTAATTCGCGCGCGCGGGGCGGCCCCTGGAGGCCCCCAGAGGAAAAGAACCCCGGCTGACCCCCGGCCGGGTCCCGGCCGGGTCCCGGGCGATCCCCAGGGGGAGGCTATTTTTCGCCACCCCTCACGAGGATCGTGGCCTCCGAGGGGGTGGCTGCAATCGACTACCCCCTCCCGCCCCAAGGGGCCCCCAAGAGCCCCCTACTTAAGAGGCCCCAGGGGAGCCCAAGACGCCGCCAAGGAGCCCCAAGACGCTCCCAAGAGCCCCCAAGAGGCCCCCAAGACGGCCCCAAGAGGCCCCAAATAGCGCTCCAGGGCCGGCGGAAAGCGAAGCGATTAAGAAGAGGCGCCATGAAATTTGGGGAAAGATCATGGCCCCCGCCATGATGTCCACCCCCCCCAGTCTTAAGTCGGGCCTGTCCTCCTACAGGCGGATTTTGGGCGAAAACTTAAAGATGGTCAGAAAGACCCAAAAGTAGTCACACACAATATTCACAAAATCGTCCCCTGACTTTTGTAAACTAGTTTTGAATACTCCTCCTGTAGAAGGACAGGCATGATTTAACCCTTTGCGAGGCGGGGATTTATCCATATCCACCGTCGGGCGATGGATATGCATATATTTCGGCCCCCGGGGGCCCGAATATGTCCATATCCACCGCCTGCCGAGGCTCCGAAAACTGAGCCTCCAGGCGGTGGTCGTGTACGAATTCCCGCCTCGGACCCGATGTCACCCCTCTCCCCTCTCTTTGCCGACCCCCGAGGAGCCGCGCCCGGGGCGGGCCCCGGGATCGGGCCCAGCCCTGGGCCCGAGGAGCGGCGCACGAAGCCCCGCACGGCCGGGCCCGGGGGACGCACACGGCCGGACCCGGGGCCGAAGAGCACCCCTCAAGGGCATAGGTCTAAGTCGGGCCTGTCCCCCTGCAGGGGGATTTTGGACGAGAACCTAAACATACCCCAAAAATTATCCCGGCAAAGCAACCTAACAGCGATGTCTAGAAGCATATCTGAAAGCATTCCCCTTAAGATTCAGATGAAAATCCAGTTGCCGAATTCTGCTGTTCTCGCAGTCGTAGTGGCATTCGCGATGACAGTCGCAGCGGCAACGGCAGTCGCAGTCACAGCCTCAGCCTCAGCCTGCCTCAGCCTCAGCCTCAGCCTGCCTCAGCCTCAGCCTGCCTCAGCCTCAGCCTCAGCCTGCTTCAGCCTCAGCCTCAGTCTGCCTTCAGCCTCGGCCTCAGCCTCAGCCTGCCTCAGCCTCAGCCTGCATCAGCCTCAGCCTCAGCCTCAGCCTGCCTCAGCCTCAGCCTCAGCCTCAGCCTCAGCCTCAGCCTCAGCCTCAGCCTCAGCCTCAGCCTCAGCCTCAGCCTGCCTCAGCCTCAGCCTGCCTCGGCCGCAGCATCAGCCTGCCTCAGCATTCATGTGGCCCAGTTCTTCAAAATGGCCAGGAATGGAGTTCTGGGAACTAGAAGAACACGAAGTGGCCTACAGTTGGCTCCGGGCATTCAAAATCATGCCCAGGAATGGAGTTCTGGGAACTTGAAGAGCACGAAGTGGCCTACAGTTGGCTCCGGGCATCCAAAATGTGGCCCGGGAATGGAGTTCTGGGAAGTCGAAGAGCACGAAGTGGCCTACAGTTGGCTCCGGGCATCCAAAATGTGGCCCGGGAATGGAGTTCTGGGAGCGCCAAGAGCGATTTTGCGAGGATGTCCCAAGCGATTTCGGCTTCGGCGGCAGCCGTTCCGGGTCCCGCCCCGACCCCCCTGTGGAGTCATCTGCTGCTCTCTTTTGAGACCACTAGAAACCTATCAGCAAAAGCTGTTAGGTAAATACCCCGAAATGATCAACAAGTATTCAAAAATTCGTCCCCAGACTATTCTTGACTATTTCTTAATATTCCCCCTGTAGAGGGACAGGCTCGACTTAAGCATAGGTAGGGAAACGAGCTCTACGCACCGACGCTTTTTCCGACCCTGCGCTGAAATTCGCACATGGACGCGGATCCTGGTGTACACGGGATCCTGGTGTATACATGTTTCGTTGTTTCCCTTGGAACACGGGGGAAAGGTATACACCACACCACCCCGACGTCGCCCCCGACCCTCAAAAAGTCGTGGGATTGAAAAAAAACACCCGCCACTGGTAATGTTATATGTTCCAGTTTCCGAATAGGGCCCTCCGCAGGCCAAACTGAAGAACATTCGAGGGTACCTTCTGCCACCCCCCAAGGCGTGCAGGAACGTTCAACGAGCACGAAGAACATCAGGACACCCTCCCTGGACCGGCCTCGATCTGATGCCTCGGTCCGACTGTGCGCCGATCCTGGGCTCAGGATGCGGAAGGCAGGAAAGGCGCCCCCACAAGAATCTCCGCACACACAGGCGAGGCCCCTCAGCAAGCGCAGCCAGGGAGAGAACCGACCAGGGCAGGACAGCCCAGCAAACGCGGGGGGCCAGTCGGGTGGTCGGGGTGGCTGTTCCTGCCTTGAGGACGAGCCTGGCCAGGATCGACGAGCCCAGACCCCTTTGAAGGGGCACTGTGACACACAAATAAATAGACACAAATAAGAGGATTTCCCATATGTTTCCCATATTTTCTAGGTTTTCGTCTTCCCCCCCACTTCCCATATTTTCCCATATTTTCCTGGGAGTCGACGATTCATTGTGTCTATGTGTTTTTGTTCCCTCCTGACCCTTCTCTGGGAGCGGTTCTCCGTCCCGGAGCCATTTCTGATGGTCCCTGGGGCCCGACAGCGGCCCCTCGGGGGCCGAGATCGAGGACAAGCGCCAGAGATCTGACGACGACGACGACGACGAAGACGACGACGACGACGACGACGACGACGCCGACGCCGACGCCGACGCCGACGCCGACGCCGACGCCCAAGCTTCTGGCGGGCGCCCCCCGCCAGGGGCTTAGCCCCCTGGACGCCACGCTGCTGGCGCTCGCGGCGCGGGGCGGGGCGCCAGATCCCCCCCTGCTCCTCCTCCTTCTCTCTCTCTCTCTCTCTCTCTCTCTCTCTCTCTCCTCCTCCTCCTCCTCCCCCTCCTCCTCCTCCTCATCCTCCTCCTTTTCCTCCTCCTCCTCCTCCTCCTCAATTCCTCTTGCTTTGAAATAACTCCTCCCTGCCGCACCCCCTGCGGGCCGGGCGTTTCGCCTGATATCACCAATTCTGATCCTGAAGCTTTCAAGCTGCAACAATCCCACCAGCCCTCTGGGCGTCGGTGGTTTAGAGCGTTTCTTCTTCCACCCCTCCTTCTTCCCCTTCGGGGAGGGGTTTACCCCTCCCCCCACCCCCTCCCCACTGACCTGGACAGGGGGGGCCGCGACGCGTTGGAGCGTCCAAGATGAGCCAAGACGACACCAAGAGGGCCTCAGGGAGCCCAAGATCGCCTCCAAGATGGTTCAAGATAGCGCAAGATGCCTCAAGATGGTTCCGAAGATGCTCCAAGACGCTCCAAGACCGCCCCAAAACGGCTCTAAGTGTCCACTAGAGCTCCCCTCGGATGCCCCCAAGAAGCCAAAATGTTTCAAAACCCTAGGGAAAATCAATGTTGTTGGCGTTATCGCGCTTTCGCTTCCGATGCCCACCCGAGGCGTCAAGATAGCTCCAAGATGGCTCAAGATAGCTCCAAGAAGGGCCCAAGAAAGCCCGAAGACGGCGCAAAGAGCGCCCAAGAGCGCTCCAAGAGCCCTCCAAGAGCGGTTCAGGAGGCGATGTTATAGGCTTTCCAGGAGCGACGCTAATTAGTGCTTCCGCTTTCTTTGACAGATCCCCTCCAATATGGGCTCTACCAGCGCCTCTGAGGCCTCCAACAGCGCTTCAAGAACGCCCCAAGAGACGCCCAAGAGGCCTCCAGTAGGCTCACAAGATAGTGAAAGATGGGCCAAGACGGTTCCGAAAGAGCTTCGGGGAGCCCAAGATAGCCTCCAATATGGCTGAAAATCCCACCAGCCCTCTGGGCGTCGGTGGCTTAGAGCGTTTCCCCTTCCACCCCTCCTTCTTCCCCTTCGGGGAGGGGTTTACCCCTCCCCCTACCCCCTCCCCACTGACCTGGACAGGGGGGGCCGCGGGTAGTTAGAGCGTCCAAGATCGACTCCTGGGAAGGCTAAAATTCGACACCCCTCACGAGGATCGTGGCTCCTGAGGGGGGGGCTGTAATTAGGGAACCCCCCTTCGTTGATCGATCTCCTCCAAGATTGTTCCAAAAGACGTCTTGGACCCCCTCTTGGGCTCTGCGCGCGGGCGGGCGGAGCGCCGCCCGCCCGCCCGCAAGGCCCAAGAGCCCACCAAAACGTTCGAAGACACTTCCAATACGCCACCAGGGAGGAGGAAGAGGCGGAGGAGGAGGAGGAGGAGGAGGAGGAGGAGGAGGAGGAGGAGGAGGAGGAGGAGAGGGAGGAGGAGGAGAGGAGGAGGAGGAGAAGGCGGAGGAGAAGGAGGAAGAGGGGAGGAGAACAGCTGCCGATCATCGGCGCTCTTCGTTCGAGTGCCTGGTGTAGGATGGGCTGGTGGGGATACGCGAAGCGTCAAGAATTTGATTACTGGAGGGCGGCTTCGTTTCAAAGTGTGGCTCTTGCCGTAGCGCCGCGCACATTCGTCTTTAATGTTTGCCACAGGTTCAAGGATGAAGGGCGGCTCCGTTTCAAAATGTGGCTCTCGCATCAGCGCCGCGCACATTCGTCTGAAAATGTGCAGCAGCTTCAAGGATGGAGGGCGGGTGATGTTCAAAATGTGACTCTCGCCTGAGCGCCCCGCACATTCGTGTTAAAGTGAGCCACAGTTTCAAGGATTCATATGAAAAAAAACCACGGATGGAATTGTGGCATGAATCATGAGTGTCAGGTCGAAACAGTCATGTTGATTCGCGGTGTTGGGGTCCCAGGAAGGGTGTTCTGCCACGATTTAGGATTGTCAAGACGCAACAGGCACGTTGATTCGCGGCGTTGAAGTCCTAAGAATCGTGTTATGGCACGACTGAAGATTCTCAGACGGTTATCTTCTAATGGAGCACTTCCCGCAGTGAAAATACATTACTGTAGGGAATTGTGAAGAAAGAACTTGGAGGGAGGGTTTATTGCAGCATCGTTGATGCGTCTTGGGTTTACACTAGTCATCCTCCTCCTCATCCTCCACCTCCACCGCCTCCTCCTCCACCGCATCCTCCTCCTCAACCTGCTCCCCCTCTTCCCGCTGGAGAACCCAGACATGCGATGTCCTGCCTTTTCAATACGGAGCCCCTGGAGCCGGCATTTGACGGCCCCGGGGCCCGGCGAGGGTCCCCAAGGGGCTGGGAAGGGCAAAGGACCTCCTGTCGTAGTTTTTACACGCGACGCGCACGTCTGGTAATGGTTCTGTTTTCCACCACCACCACCACCATAAGTCGGAGGGGGAGGGGGTCCTCCTCCTCCTCCGCCTCCTCCTCCTAGAGGGGGGAAGGAGGTGGAGGAGGAGGAGAAGGAGGAGGAGGAGGAAGAGGAAGAGGAGGAAGAGGAGGAGAAGAAGGAGGAGGAGGAGGAGAACCCCCTCCCCCTCCAACTTTGTGGTGGTGGTGGTGGAAAGCAGACCCGTCGTCTGGGAGAGCAGGCGTCCGCCCAACGCCCCCTTGCGATCCTGGGCCCCCAGCGCGCTGCTGGCCGACGCCAGCAGCCCAGCCAGGCCGGCCGCCTCTCCGCCGTCGAGCCCGAGGTGCGCGGCCGCGGCCTGCAGGTCGTGGCCGCGAGCGGACGACAGCCCGTCCATCACCTCTGGGCTTACGCCACGAAAAAGAAACAAAACTTACTCCGACGGAAGGACCCCACATGAGAATCCTCTGGGCGAATTTGGAAAAAGCCCTCACCGTCGTCCTCGTGGTTGGTGAGGCGTCCTGGCTGTTTCTTCTGCGTACATTTCTTCTCGCCCTGGCGCGGGCCCTCCCCCCGCTCCCTACGTTGCCCCAGACCTCGCCCTCCTGTTTTGGCTCCAGACATTCAGAAAGTGGCCCGGGAGTGGTGTTCTGGGAACACAAATAACACGAAGTGGCCTACAGTTGGCTCCGGGCATTCAAAATGTGGCCCCGGAATTGTGTTCTGGGAGCACGAAGAACACGAAGTGACCTACTGTTGGCTCCGGGCATTCAAAATGTGGCCTGGGAATGGCGTTCTGGCAGCGCGAGAGCCCAAAAGTGGCGACAGTTATAGGAATTGGATGACCCGCTCGGATTAGTAACATGATCCGCGGGCCCCATAGGGAGGGGGCTCCCGCTTGAGACTTCCTCGCAATTCACTCACAAATGTGGCCTGGGAATGGCGTTCTGGCAGCGCGAGAGCCCAAAAGTGGCGACAGTTATAGGAATTGGATGACCCGCTCGGATTAGTAACATGATCCGCGGGCCCCATAGGGAGGGGGCTCCCGCTTGAGACTTCCTCGCAATTCACTCACAAATGTGGCCTGGGAATGGCGTTCTGGCAGCGCGAGAGCCCAAAAGTGGCGACAGTTACAGGAATTGGATGACCCGCTCGGATTAGTAACATGATCCGCGGGCCCCATAGGGAGGGGGCTCCCGCTTGGGCCTTCCTCGCAATTCACTCACAGACGAGGCCCAAGGCGAGTGAGTGAGTGAGTGAGTGAGTGAGTGAGTGAGTGACTGACTGACTGACTGACTGACTGACTGGTGATGATGATCATCATCATCACACTCTCTCACGCGCACACTCATCTTCATCATATGTGAGTGCTGATGAGTGAGTGAGTGAGTGAGTGAGTGAGTGAGTGAGTGAGTGAGTGAGTGAGTGAGTGAGTGGGTGAGTGAGTGAGTGTGTGAGGGATGATGAGTGAGTGAGTGAGTGAGTGAGGAATGAGTGATGATGATGATGATGGTGGGTTCCTGTTCCTGCGCGGGGTGTCCAGAGAAAACAAGAACCCCGATTTGGAAATGGGAAAAAAATACGATGTGTGTATACATATATACATATACCTGTATAAATATATATATATATATATATATATATATATACATGTACACATTGTATATTTATACATGCATACATACATACTACAAACATACATACATACATACATGCATGCTGCATGCATGCATGCATACATGCATGCATGCATGCATGCATACATACATACATACATCATACATATACATATACATACATACATACATACATACATACATACATACATACATACATACATACATACTACATACATACATACATATACATTCATACATACATATATATATATACATAAATATATATATATAATATATATATATATATGTACACATCTACACGTTAGGTGGCGGCATCCGAATCCTACCCCCACCGACCACGGAGAAGCATCCCTGAGGACTCTGGCCCACGTCGGCATCGTCGTCGTCGCCGCGATGGCCGCCGTTGTCGTCGTCGTCGTCGTCGTCGTCGTCGTCGTCGTCGTCGTCGTCCCGCTTCAGGGTCGGCGGCACGGGCCGCAGAGCCTTAGCAGCATATACACATTAGGTGGCGACATCCGAACCCTACCCCCACCAACCATCGATTCTCCTGAATCGATGGTTGGTGGGGATAGGGGTCGGATTTCGCAACGTGTTCGGGGAATTTCGAAGCCTACCCCCGCCAACCATCGAGTTGCCAAAATCGTGGGTGGGCGAGGGGTTCCGCCGCCAGCACAGCACAGACGCCAGCCGACAAGTTGTCCCTGCGCCTTCAAGAGATGGTGGCAGTGTAGAAGATCCGTGGCTTGTAATGATGATTGATACACCCCCATCCTCCCTATGAGGCCCGAGGGCAGCACCGCATCGCCGATGCCGCGGCTATGTGCGGCGCGACGACGACGACGACGACGACGACGACGACGACGACAAACAATCCACTGGAGGGTGTCAGTGTGACTTGTTTTGTGGCGGAGGGCCGCACGCCGAGAACGAACCTGGGCAAGAGCGACCTTTGGTGCGCGGCCCTCGGGGGGGCAGGCTCCGGGGGGGCAGGTCGAGGAGGAGCGGAGGTTCGAGGTCTGAGGTTTTCGGGCCCAGCGGCTGCGCCTCGCCAGGAGCGTCCCAGGATGCCCGGATCGCCAGGAACGGCCGCCTGAGACCCAAGTGGGGTACAGACTCAGGGGGGGGCTGCATCGACCCCCCCATATCGCCCATTGATCGCCGGTAGTGGCCCCATGGCCCAACCCGTCCAGGAACATGCGGATTCGCTATCGGCGGCCGATCGCCGATCTACCTGTGACGTATCGCAGATGGCATGTCCATGTGTCCCCTCAGCCTGTTCCCCCCTGACGTGGCCACTGACTTCGGGGGGACGCGGGGGGGCACTTCCATCGCATTCGCAACCGGCGAGTCTCGGCGATCGGGGGCCCCAGTTAGAGGCCTCCTAAATGGGGTTCGACACCATCTGCTCCGACTCCATCCGTCAGACCTAGACCACTTCGGTGGTTCAAATGTTGGTCCTGAGGGATGGGATCCTGAGGGTAGGTAGGGATCCGAGGGGTGGATTTACGTTGCTCGAGACACCTCGCCCTTAAGGACCCCATCCCTCAGGACCGCAACTTTGAACCACCGACCAGTGGGCCACGCACCAAAAAGGCCACCCTGGCGAAGGGCCACTCTTGCGTGCTGCCGGTGGCCTCCAGGTTCAGGTCGACCCTGCCGGCGCCCTGCTCCGGGGCCGTCACCACGATGGTGAACGGTTCCAGGAAACCCACCGGGAAGTCCCGCTGCACGCGCCGGAGCGCCGCGAGGGCGGGCATGTCCATGGGCATCATGGCGAAGGCGTCCCCAGTGATGTTCATCTCCGGGAACTTCAAGAGCGCGGGAGAGGTCAGGGCGAGCACGGCCACCATGGCGGCGACGGGGGAGCGGTCCACGAGCCTCGCCACGGAGAGCCAGCTGCTCTTTTCCTGCCCCTGCGCCCTCGGCCCCACGGCGTCGCTCGTCTCCTCGTGGTCTACGTAGCCCTGCAGCTGGTGGTCACCGAGCCTCAGGGGAACGCCCGAGGAGCCGACGAGCGCGTGGCCAAAGACCTGGCGGGAGACCACAAGGCACCGATAGCGCTACTCCTCGGACCTCTCAGTCGGGTGCGCTCTAACCAGAGCTTGGAGGAGGATCCAGCCGTGGTGACGAGGGCTCTCCAGCACAAGCAGCGGCATCGGTACCTTTTCTTGGGCAAGCCGCAGGCGCGCCAGGGCGTGAGGCGTCAGTCGGGCCACGCGCGGCCCACGCACGGCAGGCTATCGAGAATGATGGTTGCCAGCGCGCAAAAAAGGGAAAGGATGGTGGTCCAGCGGAGCGGATGACAAACAAGCCCGACCATCCTGCCTGTGATCCTCCATCACTAGCATGCGGAAACGGGTCCTGAGGGAAACGGGTCCTGAACCCTGGAGCCTTACCCCAGGACCAGCTCTTCATCCTGAGTCGTTTTCTGACTGTCCAGGGCCCGTGGAGGGCCTCGCGAGCCCGAAAATAGCGACAAACCTCAGAACCCTCAGAACCCGTTTTTCCCATGGCGACATCACCACCAGCATCGAGATCCGGGTATCGGTACCTCTTCCTCCCCCGGGGACCAGCAGCATGGCGGGCATCAGCACGGTGCTGGTGGCCACGCAGGCGATGGTCACCCAGCCAAGGGCGACCCCCGAGCCCTGCGCGGAGGGGCTCCCGCAGGCGGCTGAAGGCGGCAGCCCGGGATCTCGGGGGCGGGTCGCCAGGCGGCAGGGCGACGAGCGAGCTAGCATACACACGAGTTTGTGTATGTATGCATGTATGTGTGCATGCATGCGTATCTACATACATATGTTTGTGTGCATACATATATATATATATATATATATATGTATATATACACACACACATATTTATGAGTGCGCATGTGTGTTCATATATCTAGATCTGCATGAAGGGAGAGGCCGCTACGTATGCACATATACCCATATGTGTACATATGTGTGTACGCAAATGAATGCGAACATATACATATATATATATATATATATATTATGTTTGTGTGTATGTGTGAATGTAACACATATGAAAATAAACATGCAAACTGGTTGGCATGTAAACAGCGTTGTGTAAATTACACATGTGTGCGTGTATGTAAACATGTGATTGTGTAAGTAAACCTCGCTGGTTCTTACGAATATATACACTAGAACCACGCGCACGCTTCCTGCGCGCTTAGGTTCTATTTGAGGCCCCAACATTTTGCGACGCACGGAACATGATAGTTGCGGACCTCATTGAGGCTCGGCCCCGTCCTACTGGACCTGTGCGTGTGCGTGTGCGCGTGCATGCGTGCGTGTGCGTGCGCGCGTGCGCGCGCACGTGCGTGGTGCGTCGTGCGTCGTGCGTCATGCGTGTGCATGCGTGCGTGCGTGCGTGCATGCGTGCGCGCGCCTGCGTGCGTGCGTGCATGCGTGCGCGCGTGCGCGCGTATGTGTGCGTGCGTCCGTGCGTGCGTGCGTGCGTGCGCGCGTGCGCGCGTGCGTGCGTGCGTGCGTGCTTCGCACGCGTGCGTGCGTGGGTGCGCGCGTGCGTGCGTGCGTGCATGGGTCCGTGAGTGCGCGCATGCATTCCCGCGCGCGTGCGTGCGTGCATGCACGCGGGCGCGCGAGCGCGCTCGCGGGCGTGCGGGCACGCGTGCGCGCGGGCGTGCGGGCGTGCGCGCGCGTGCGCGCGTGCGCGCGCGTGCGTGCGTGCGTGCGTTCGCGCGCGCGTGCGCGCGTGCGTGCGTGGGTCCGTGCGTGCGTGCGTGCGTGCGTGCGTGCGTGTTAAGCGCGCGTGCGTGCGTGCGAGCGTGCGCGCGCGCGGGCGTGCGCGCGGGCGTCCATACGTGCGTGCGTGCGCGCGCGCGCGGGGGGGCGGGCTGGCGGGCGCGCGGACGCGCGTGCGCGCCCGCGTGCGTGCGTTCGTGCGTGCGTGCGTG